ATAATTATATAGATATAAATATAAATATATATATCGATATAGATCGCAAGAGTATATCAAAAAATTAAATCATGCTTGCTGATAGGCTGCTAGCAATTGGGTGTTGGTGCTCGGAGAAAGAGTGGTGGTGGTGGTGGTTAGTGGTAGTGGTGGTGGTGGTGGTGGTGGTGGTGTCGCGTTATAATTCTTTCCCTTATTTTTATTTAACTATCATAAACTTTATTGTAATAACAATTTTACCGAAATTTATATATAATTTATACACATTTAATATTCGATTGTTTTTTTTTCTTTTTTTTTTTTTTTAATTTGTTTGTTCGATAAGTTTCGATCATTTATTTTATTTTAATGTTTTATTTTATTTTTTTTTTTTTATTATTATTGTTTTTTAAAAGTAAACGAAAACAGATAACCATAAGCGTAACGAAGAGATCGTATCGAGAAGCTATATTTAAAAATAATATAATATATACATATATATATATATATATGTTACATATACATACACGTACGCGAAACGATCCCATTTTCGCGCTCTCGCGAAAGGTGAAAGTGTTTTTTGCCTACGCACTCGCGCATATACACTCACGCAAATTATTATAGTGATTTTCTTCTTATTTCGCGTTTTTCTTTATTCTTTTTTCTTTTTTCTTTTTTTTTCTTTTTTTTCTTTTTTTTTCCCACATCGCTTTTACCTTCGATTCTAATATATCTCTTAAATATAAATCTAAATTTCTAATTTTCTAAAATAAATAGAAAAATAATTATACACACACACGAATAATCTTGACCGATAAATAAATTCTAGAAATAAATTACTAATATCTGTTTTCTTTCTTTATTTGTGATTTTAGAAAATATTACTTGTAATGTCTAAATATCTATGGAAACTTAGGGAGAATGAATGTCATCTAATTTCTATCTAATTTATTATTTTCTAAATTTTCTAATCTAAATAAATATATACCACCTTGAACAAATATACTAATTTTACTCTAATTTCTAATACTAATTTTTTATACTATTTATCTACTTTTCATTAAAACTACACACATTTCTAACTATTTCTAACGATTATCTATCATTTAATTGTTCAGATTGGTTTTTTTTCTTTTTTTTTTTCTAATTTCCTATCATCTTTTTTTCGATGTGAGTAAAGTGATCGTGCATGCCAAGACATCTATGTACATATACATATATGTTTAGATATATATGTATATAAAAAATTAAAATAATCATAATAAACATAATGAAAAAATCGTAATAATTAATAATAATAATAATAATAATAATAAAATAATAATAATAATAATAATAATAATAATAATAATAATCACGAAGATAATGTAATATGAACGATTAAATATTGGTACTTATAAAAAAATAATACAAAAAATAAAAAAATAAAATAATAATAATAATCATAATAATAATAATAATAATAATAATAATAATAATAATGATAATCGTGCTTGAATATACGAGTAGTAATAGTAATTGAAAAACCGAATAATAAAAGTAGCATGGGTGCAATAAACACATTCAAGTAAAAAACACGTACACACCTAACGCTAACGTTCGACTAAATATTTTCTAAGAGCAGAAAAACAAATCGATTTTGGTGATAAATAGATAATAGAAAGAAAGAGTGATAGATAGATAGATAGATAGATAGAGTAACAGAGAGAGAGAGAGAGAGAGAGAAAAATATCTAAAAATGAAAAAAGGAGAAAAAATTCATGCCAAAGTAAGACAGGTGTCATAGTTCGCGATCGTTCCCGATATGAATTTTCAATTCGCGTTCACTCTCGTGTTCTCGTTTTCATTTTCACGCACCCGTAACAAATATAATAATATACGATATAAAATATAAGTACAGTTAATTTGTTGTTGTTTTTTTTCTTTTTTTTTTTTATTATTATTATTATTTTCTTTTTCATTGAGAGAAAACGCGTGCACGAGCCGGACCGGATCCCGATTTCGATTTCGTTTTTTCTTTTTCTTTTTTTTTCTCACGTACGATCTCTTTGGAAACTTCGGATGCCTCTCGTGTTAGTTATAATAGGATATTTTTAATATATATTTAATTTATTATTCGATTAGAAAGTATATTTGTATTAATTAATCAAGGATTAAATTTTTTCACAAATTTGTCATCCGTCATTTCACTTTTATAAACAATTTTTATTAATGCACTGATATATTTTTTTAATTTTCTTTAGTTTTCAATTTCTTTTTTTTTCTATTATAAAATAATATTCACGATTAACTATATTCATAATAATAATAATAATAATAATAATAATAATAATAATAATATTTAAAATAATAAGAAATAATAATAACGACACTTAATATAATTCAACAAAATATATATACAGTTGTTAAAATAAATAAATATTGATTAAATAAACGATCGATAGTCAATCATCTCGAGAAATATTGAAATATTATTTGTCAATTGGAAATACGAATATGGTGAACGTCTTTTGCGATTAAAAATAAAATAATAATAATAATAATAATAATAATTAAAAAAAAACTAAATAATAAACGAACGAACGAACGAGTTCTTTTTTCCCGTGTACATCATATTTAACGAAAACAAAAATATTATATATATGTATGTATATAATATAAATATACCGTGCGTGTGATACTTGTGAGATATTTTGTAAATTTTTTTTTTTTTTTTAATATTTTTTTTGTTAAATAATATATATATATATATGTGTGTGTATATATATATCGTTGGCACTTGGTTTTGTTTAATTGAAAACTTACGAGGGGCCTGGCGCCCCAGTACCAGGATTTCACACGCTGCGTCAGCCCACCAAGCAAATGGGACCTCCAACCACCGAAACCTCCACCACCTCCACCATCCGAGTTCCTCTCTTCCCTTCCTTCTTCCTCATCCTCCTCCAAATCGCGTTCCCTTTCTCCTCCACCTCCTTCCCTTCCACCTCCTCCTCCTCCTCCTCCTCCACGCCTCCCATTACCGATCATCTCAGCGTCGCTATCATCGCATCCTCCGTCGCTTTCCTGTTTTTGCGACGAAGGATCAAAACAAATGGAACACACACAACACACTCCCAACTAATAATCTTACGATTTAACTTTATTTAAACCTATCAGGTCATTTGTTTTTCTATTATTTATTTATTTATTTATTTATTTATTTATTTTATTATTTAATTAAGTATACGAATTCAAATGGTCTCATTGGTCAACTCGATGCAACGAAATGATTTATTTTGCTTTTGTTTTTTTAAACCTTTTGACTATTACGAACGCATATATGTGCATTTTATGATTAACGTGCATTAATAATAAAATAATTGCATTATTATTATATAATATAATTATATTATATTAAAATAATGCATTAATGAGGAGAGTTGGTGGACCTGAAACTCTTTCTAAGTTGAATACTTGTTTTATAAATCGATGATTAGGATGGAAGAAGAATACTTTTTGTTAACTCAACACTATTATTTTCATTTTTATTTAATCCTTTGACTACTAAGGACAAATTATGCATTTGATAATTAATATGCATTATTAATAAAATAATGCATTAATTTATATATGCATTGATGAGAGTTAGTGTCTCTCAAACTCTTTCTAGGTTTAGGTTGATTATTTATTTTATAAATTGATGAGAGGATTGAAGAAGAATTTTTGTTTATTTAACCGAACACTCTTTCAATTTCGACTCTTCGAGTTTAATCAATTATTTGTATTTTTATATTTTTTATTTTAAATAATTTTCAATGTAAACAAATGTTTTGTGATTATTTTCTATAGAAAAATGATTTATATATTAATGAACGAAGTGTTATACGAAAAATCAATAATGATAAAGACAACCAAAAAATGATTGAAATCATTAGAAAAATGAACAACAATTATTAAAAAAAAAAAAAAAATAGATAAATTATAATGATATAAAAAATACTATTAATAATATATATATGTATATACACTTTGATATTATGTACTAGTATAGTAAACACGCGAAGTATTTTTCACGTGCATTTTAGTCGAAGCAATGAAACGACGTGGCTCGGTGCACCTCAATAATTGACCCACTTTGCGAAATCATAAAACGGTGACCGCAACCCCCACCTTCGTTCCGGTCCTTCCAGGTAAATAACGGAACGAGTAGACGCATTGAAACTTTCTCCGATGGTGACCCCATAATAACATCTACCAGCTCATTGTTCGTTCTTTTATTTATCACGTTCGATTGATCGATAATACGAGATTGATCAGATTTTTGTTTCAACAAATTATGATTAGTATAATTATCTTTATTTTCCAACAAAATTGTATTAACAACAACAACAACAACAACAACAAAATATTCACAAATTATCGATCACGTGTGTTAAAATATTATTCATTTGACTTATAGTTATATATATATATATATTAGGTCTACCGGAAAATTCTGTCCATTTTAATAATAAAATAAAATAATGAATTATTCATAATTTGAACAATTAATTAATTTAATTATTTTGTAAACTCTTGCCAATATGGCGGCAATTTGTATATTCTATTTTAAGAAATGGGACCTTAACCCTACCCCTATTGACAAAATTTTCCGATTGACCTTATATATATATTAATAAATTTATAATATTTATTAATAAATATTATAAGTATTTAATATTTATAAATATAAAATATTTAATTAAATATTAATATTAAAAAAAATAAATATTAAATATTTTATATTTAATAAATATTAAATATAAAATAAATAAATATTAAATTATTTAATAAAATTAAATTAAATAAATTAAAATAAATAATTAAATAAAAATAATAAATATTATATATATATATATATATATATAAAGTATTTATAAATATTCGTGGAATATTTGATAAAACAAAATTCACGATCAGAGATATTGAATTTGTCACTAAAAAATATATATATATATATATATATATATCTACCTATATTCGATTAATATAAGTTGAACGCGTAGGTGTCACTCACAAACTGGTTCCCTTTTTGTAATCTGACGCAACAAACAACATGCGTGAGTTTAACGAACCCACACACATGTGTTATACGTACAGGTAATAAAAAATAAAAAAAAAACAAGAATAAAAAAAACCTATCTATCTCTCCTCTTTTCCTTTCTCTTTTTTTCAGCTTCTCTTTCAATCTTATTATAATTAAAATCTTACACCAACTACACCGAATTGAGAAATGATTTGGAACAGGTAGAAAGAAAAACAACGAACTACAAAAAGAATATTAGATTCAATTTGGTCAATTAATTTAGAATACTTTCTTTGACAGAAGAAATAAAAATACATCATCAAATCTGAAGAGCAAATAATAGTTGTTGTGAAGGAAGATAAAATGGGTCGTCGTTTAGGCCGTCATTGTACGTTTGGAAAGAGGTTAGATTCGAAGTATATCGTCTCGAGCCGATTTCCCCTTTTGTCAGTGTGATCACTCGTAAGAAAAAGAAGTCGAAAAAGAAGAAGAAGAAGAAGAAGAAGAAGAAGTAAAAGAAGTAAAAGGGTCCACGTCTGTACGAAAGTACAGACTAATCCTCTTCTAAGAAGTATATTGAGAATGATCCTTCCCTTCGATCAAACCGGTTCGAAGATAAACGCGAACGATAGGTGTAACGAAGAAGAGAACTCCTCTCTTTCATTATATATTCCCATCAAAGTGTTAGAAATCTTTACATGATCGATTTTTATCTGTCAAAAAAAAAAAAAAAAAGAAAAGAACCCGAACTTGTTTTAATTCTTGGACTAAAACACGTTTTATAAAAAACCACGTCAGATTTATCAAAAAAATACCGTTGTCATACACCTCTGCATGAAAACTTGGTTTTATTAATAATATTGGTAATTAATATAAATGTTATTGTCAAGTTTATTATATTAGTGGTTCTAGAAATTATTCAAATATATAATATTATAAAAATAAATATAATATAATATTATAAAATAAAATATAAATATAAAAATAAAATATAAATATAAAAATAAAATATAAATANTATAAATATAAAAATAAAATATAAATATAAAAATAAAATATAAATATAAAAATAAAATATAAATATAAAAATAAAATATAAATATAAAAATAATATATAAATATAATATAATATAAAAATAAATTATATTTAAATATTAATATATAATTTATAATTATATAAATATTTTATTATATATTTTATATAATAAATATTATTTATATATATTTTTATATAAATATTTATAATATTATGTATATATAATATATTAATTTATAATATTAATTATTAATATTATATATTAGTCAAATTTTGGTAATATTATTATACTAGTTTCATCAAACGTTTTAATCAATTATTTTTAGAAATATTAACATAATAATTAAAACAAATTTAAATTAATTAAGATAATGAAATCACATTGATATGTAAAATTTATTAAATAGACTTTACCAAGTTTTCTATCCACTATTTTATTTTAATTAACGTTCACAAAATTTTCCATTTTTCGCATATTCACGTACATAAACATATTCATATTTGCTTCTTATGTGTTAGAGTACAATTAATGAAATCCCGTTTGGAAGTGGTTCAAGTTCGTAAAGTTTGAACGACTTAAGATATATTACTTATTTTTGTAATTTAGCGGTTTTAGTTAACTAGCCAGAGCTACAAGTTGATCAGACAATTTATTGTCTCTAGTATGTTTTTAAATGTGGCGGGATGTGACTCATCGAACGAATGATTCATAATTTAGAGAGTCGTTGTGGCGGTAGTATGGGAGATCCGTTCTTCTATTCCGGAAAAAGGGAGGAGCATGAACGTTTTACTATTCGTGCGAGTTTCTCCTCGTCGGGAAAAAGATACTAGTCGTGATCTAACTGAGTCAAAGCCTTTCGTGGCTTTCTAATCGTTCGTGTTTCCTTTATAATAACATTGGTACCACCTACCAATACAAAGACATTTTCTATCAAACCAACAGCTGCCAAATCCCCATTAGTGTCCACATTAAAATGATTTTATTCGTTAGATTAGAAAGCTTATCATCTATGATAGATTTAATAAATCAATTATTATAAATAGAAATTGTTAATTTTTGCATCACGATACTAACATAAATATGTTGAAATAAAATATAGAAATATATATATGTATATGTTGTTAGTAATATTATCACGATATATAAATCATTTTATATACGCCTAAAATCATTGAACCGGTTTTTCGTGTGGACGCAAGGTTGTGCGTTGCAGTTTAAGCTTCGCGACCTATTAAAAAAATATTTCATACCGACACACGTTGTTAAGTTGAGAAACTCTGCTTTCTTGCGTAACGAATTAACATCTGTAAGATTCATTTAAATATTTCTTAATTTTTTTTTTTTGTTTTTTTTTTTTTTAAGAATAAAAGAATTTTAGAATCGGTTAATTTTAATTTTTTTTTTTAGTAAGATTTTGTTGAGAGAGAATTTTAGTCTCGAGGTCACTGCCTTTAACACGTTTTCATAGTGTCAATCCTTCTTTCAAACGGTGTATATATATATATATGTATATGTGTGTGTGTATGTATAAGTACACTTTCCTCGGTTGAATGGGGGCTTCCACCACTCTACATTTTCATCTTTTAACGAGACAACGTCATCACTTCTGACAATGAGTAAACTAGTGTGGTAGTGGTGGTAGTGGTGGTGACTATGTAAAAACAGTGAAAAAGTATATAATAGTATGAGTGACTAAAGTTTCAACGTTATTTCGTGATTAATGGTCTGTTAAACATTGATTTACAAATTACTAAACGACCTGTACTATTTTTTTATAAATTATTTTTATAATATTCAATTATTAAATTGCTTCGAAATTTTGGGTCTTTGATTGATGAAATCGAATAATCAAGGGCCTGATTATTATTTACAATTATTTTTAAGATAGAATATCTTTTTTTTTTCAAATGGTAGTAGATGATTGGTATTTCAAAGTTTTCATATATAGGAGTTAAAATATAACATTTATTTTTTAAATATAT